CCAGCGTGGATTCAGACCAGCCCGCGCATCCGCGAAGTCTGATCAGAAGCCATGCTGTTCGCTATCAGTTTCTCTACTTGTTATAGGGTTTGTAAGCGAACAGCATGGATCCGCGAAAGCGCAGGCTGGTCTAGATCCATGCTGGTCGCAAACCCATAACGTTGGTTTTGTCATGACGCGGCTCAAATGGTCAAAGATCTTCAGTATCCACCCATAGAGCATTCATGATACCTGTATCATACATGCCATTTTCTGAAGCATTCATTTTGTAAAATTCTTAACTACCACCTAAGATGAAATGACAAGAAACAAAAGTAGTACTTTGTTTTGTTTTTCCCATTTAATGAGATTAATTGAAAACGAATGTTTAAATATATGTCATTACATCTTATACATCTATACATCTTAAATCTTTACATATATAGCAAACATAAATCCAGTCGCTTATAATAATTGTCAACTAAAGAAGAAGAAAAAACACTGCATTTACACTGAATATCACTGAAATTAAAAATTGTATGTGGGTATGAGTAGATTGTGTGACTATAATTGTATTTTAATATGTTATTTATGTGCACGATGTACAAGCTGTACATGTGAAATAAATGTTCTGTTCTGTTCTATTCTCTTCTGAACAGACTAGGTCCAATTTTTCAATGTAGCTACATAATACTTAGAGATTGCATTGTAGTTTCTGTATTTAAAAACCTTAAACAAGCAGCTTTAGGCTAAACGTTTACACTGCATTTACAGGATATAATTACTGTTACAGTCAAAAAGTCAAAGTCAAGACAAATAATTTATTAGCAAAACATATACATGTTCATCGTCAAGTTACAATTTAGCGGTACAAAACAAAGTATAGAAAAGTAAGATACATTATTAATTATACATTATGAATTAAAACATAAACATATGTTTCCGTATGTTTCAGTGTACAATTATTCAAAAAATGTATTAATTAGATTCAAGTGATGTATGAACAAATTTTGCTATGCTAACAATTTCATTTCGTGTTTGTACATTTAATTATTGATCTGAATTTATTTGAATTAGGCCATTAGCAATATTATATTGGTTAATATATTTTCCTTAAGTCATTAAATATGGACATACTAATAAAAATGATACTCAGTTTCGATTTGTTTCATATTTCATTTCGTACATAAACGTTGTTTTTCCACCAATATTTCTATGTCTACCTTCTTCTATAGCTCATTTGTGCGTAGAGCACCTACACATTGTTAACAGTTTACCATGTTTAAAATTATTAACACAACTTAAATATTTCTCTTGGGTAAATTCAATTTAAACAAATTATAACAATGTACACCAATAGCTTGTTTTCAAAATTGCGAATGAACATTTCCGATGTCTAGTGCATTATGAAAACCCCAATCCTCTGAACTATATGTAAGAAACGGTAAGGCCACGCTATCAATCTGTTCTGTTACATTAAGGGCGATTGATTCAAAGAATGACATTAACAGAGGATAGTGCATTTAGTGTTTGATAAGACATGTAAGATAAAACGTTTTTGGCTTGATAAAAAAATCCCATTAGACGAGAATGTAATACAAAGATAGGTGAATGACTAACCAACGCTACGTAGCTCATTATGAGAAAAAAATATAGCATCGTTTTATCTACATTCACCACAATACCCCGCTTAGTGCAATATGCATTCAATCCTTCCTTAGCATAAGAAAAAAAAACTGTATCGTACGCAAACAATATTAAAAAATATTTGTATATCATCTAATGAAATTGACTCAATATTATCTTCTTGTAAATTTTCATGCATATCATTTGCGAAGAAAATAGATAAAAGAGGTGATAGTGGCTCCCTTTGTTTAAAGCCCACTTAAGTCTCAAAACTACTATCTGACAGGCAACCGTTTGCTCTTACACAAGATTTCACACAATTATACATACGGCGCAACATTTTTCAACTTTATATGATACACCAGATTCAATCAATTTAAGCTGGCTAATATTCAAATTTGGGATAGAAATCAACAAAAGAACGAATCTGACAAATTCCTAAGATATTTGTGCTGAAAAAAGTTACCTCTAGATTGTTAACGTATTTTTTCTATTTTTCCGGCCATTTTAGATGACCCAATTTCCAAAGACCTCCGAATAATAACTTAGCAAATCTTCTGTCTAAGTTTTGTGACAATTAAGGCAAAATGGGATGAGCTGAAATGAAATAAACAATGTTTTTTAAGGTTGCTTGCACTATATTATTCGAGTGTTGACGTTTTTTGTTAGACTCTTTTACAGCAATGACACCCTTTACCACAATTAATCAGTTAATTGATAAATATCACTCTCCTTTGGTTAGAATAGATTTTTTTAAAAGAAAATCAATCAGCCGACGTAGGTTCTTTTATGTTGTCTTACATGGCTTGTTTAAGTTTAGTTTCGATAAACAAACGGCAAAACATATGTATTATTCGTAAACATTGCTTATTCAAAACTAATTAATGTAAAATGTAATGCTTCATGAAAACAAAATTTCAACGGCTTTTGTCTGCCATTCTGTTCCTTAGAGAGCAACTAGAATTTGTATGCCTCCGAGAAAAGAGGAACGCTTAAAGAAAGAAAAAACATCATATGTTATAATACCTTTAACGGATGTTCATGACTGAGTTAGCATACATTTTTAAATGTGCATTAAGCCTCGGAAATTAAAATTATTTTTTCCTTCTTAAGAAAGGTATACATGAGTTGTATAATGTTAAATGAGCCGCGTCATGACAAAACCAACATAGTGGGTTTACGACCAGCATGGATCCAGACCAGCCTGCGCATCCGCGCCGTCTGATCAGGAGCCATGCTGTTCGCTATCAGTTTCTCTACTTGTAATAGAGTTGGTAAGCGAACAGCATGGATCCTGATCAGATTGAGCGGATGCGCAGGCTGGGCTGAATCCATGCTGGTCGCAAACCCACTATGTTGGTTTTGTCGTGACGCGGCTCAATTTAATAATGGTTTCAGAGCATGTTAGATACTTATCACATGTAGAAAGTAGCACTGAATGTATATTTTTTATTTGTCATAAAAAGTAGCAAGATGTAAACAAAGTAGTATTTTAACTTCCATAAAACTAAATTACTATAACTGAATTTATTCCCAGAAAGCAGCAGAAGTAAATTGTGACACAGATACAAAGTCAATGAATAGCTTTTTTGAAACCTTTAACAGGACATTAAATATAAAATATTGTGATGTGCCACTCCCCACCCATTTTTATGAACTGTTGTTTTAAATAAACAGTGTGCTTATTAATAAAAACTTTTTTAGTTAAGTTCAAAGTTTATCATAAAGTCAAAGAGATACATTAACTTTATAATTCACGAGTAATTTTACCGTTAGATTTATTAATTATTTCTCTATTCAAAGAAGAACATTCTAACTTGTAACCATTGTATTGATATTCCGCCATTTTGTTTGCTTACAAATATGACGTCACACATTAGTTGATTTATGACATCATCATCTTGTGCAAAACTTTTCTTTACATGTGGGGTACAAAGTGGGGTTACATTTAATTTATTAATCTTAAAATTTCATATCTCCACACATAATAACGGTATTTCACTTATTTCATGTTTTTATTAATTCCAATAATTATTAGCTTAATGTAATATGTGTTCAAATATGTTGTTCTATGTTGTATTTTTATCTTTAATGTAAAGTTGTGGGAGGTGTTGGATCTGTAGGAAATCCTTTAGGAGCCTTTCCTACATTTTTCTTAAAGTTTCCCACAGTGTGGGACAGTGTAGGAATCTTGACTATAAAAGCGCAGTTTTCCTGTCGGAAGTGACTCCGCTCAGATCAAAACATTAGAAGCAGAATCTCATTCAGATATTATTAAGAAATTATTTACAAGTTACATCTTTGGTAATTTTGATAGCGTATTGTTTTAAATACTTAAACATTATTTATAAAGATTTAAGTAATAATTTTTGTTCTAAAAGAGTATTTGTTGCATAAATTTAAGCATAGAAACTTCAGAGTTCTTTGAAAGTTTAAACAGTTGTTTTAAATTTATTTTGCAAAGAGCACATGAGTATAGTATATTAAAGATGAAATTTCCATTAAAGTAATATTTTTTATTGTTAATTTTATTGTATTAAGTTGCCGACACCTCACAACGTACGCACACAGATCTATATTTATAAAGTTGTTTCGGTAAAGTCGATATTTGAAATAGTAATTGATATGTTATTTTAACAGCCGTCACTGGTAGAGATATACATCATTTTACCGAAGTAATATAAATTCGGATATATATATAGATTGTTGTTAATACTATATAAGTAGCAGAATTTGTTTAATATAATTATACAACATTTGTTCAAGATTAAATAATATAGTTCATTACGGTGAGTCCGTAAATAAACATCGTTAACTTGAAATTGTCTTGGTTGTTACTGGAGAAGTTTTATATTAAAGACCCTTTATATATCATCCAAAAATAAATTACAATAAACTGATGCGGAGTCATCCTCTGATAGCCCAATCTTAGGAATTTTTGTGATCACTTGGTGTCCGTCCGAGTCCGTCATATAAATATATAAAATACAGAAGCTCTATACCAAGGAGACCTATTCTTCTGAGTTAGCGAATACATGCTGGTAGAATAAAAGACATACAAGAGACAGCGGTACGCAACAATATGTTGAGAAATAAAAAGAAAAGCCATTCTAGGGCATAGTTGGCCTTTAACAATGGAGCTCATATACACCGCTAAGATTTCTGTGTGTGTTATGTAATTTTAGAGTGTAGGGGTACAGAGCAGGGGTGTGGGGTACAAAGTCGGATTTTCTTTTGATGTATTTGCATTTGCTGTCACAAAAACTGTTCATGTATTTCTTTAGAAGTACTTGTTTAGTTGGCAATATTGAGAAATCTGTTCTTCGGTAATGTTGGCAAATATGTCAGTATAATTTATAAATTTATCTTATATCGGATTTTCTTATCTATTGAAGTTGTGTAAGAAGACAATATCATCACCAGGTGACGATGTAGACAATGATTGTGACGGTGAAATTGACGAAGACACCTGTACTGATGCTGACTTTAGTAAGAATATTGCAGACTTTTGTGTTATGATATCACACCTTATTGTCATTTATATTATGATGATTTAACAATATACCTTTACTATGACATTATATCCATCCAAAGGGTATATAGTGAGTGAGAATAAGATTACTTTTTTTTCATAAATATTCTCAATTTTATAAGTAACTTCGCAAGAACGTTAAATAACTCAAGTGGCCCGTGGATATTTTTATAAATATCAATCGGAATTTACCTGTAAGGTTCAATTTATGAAAAGAATGGGGCAATCACCATTAAACAGACAATCTTTTAAAATATATAGTAGATTCATCTCAACTTGACAAATTGAATGAAGAAAATGAGCATAATGTCACTTTTACTTAGAATATGGTTGATTATTTGTTTTTAAGATCCTGTGTGTTGTAATTGAGGTTGCATACCACACTTAAATGAAATTATATATATATGTATATAATTATGCTAAAGCCACCTTATAAAATTTCAAACATCGAAGAATATGTAAAATACGTACTGCAAATATTTGTACAAATTATATGTAATCATTTTTTTTTTGAAAAATTTGACTTAGTATTTATAAAAAAATATTTTTTTACTTTCTCCCTTTATTTACATAAAATGTTAAATTCGGTAATATCTTTATAAATAATGCTTTTTGGAACTTACAAAATTGATAAATCTTAATTTGAGCATCTAATTTATGATATTTAACCATGAAATATTGTGTTACAGGATCTTTAAATAGATTCATATATACAGAGCTTTGTCCAAAGTCTTTGATTAGCGCATAGAAGAAGCAGTACAATTATTTAATATCCCGTATATTTTCCTTTCAGGTTTCAATTTTACCGCTTCTCAGACCAGTGACGGAACCGTAACATACAAAATAGTAAATGCAGGTAAAGCTGGACACATTGATTTTACTGTATCCACATGTGATATTGCAGTGGTGACTCTCAGGACAACTTCCTCTCCTCATGCTTATATAACAGTCAAGGTATTATTTTGCCCATGTTTGATAAAAAGAAATTAATTCATTATCTAAAGCTTGTTAATTTGAAACAGTTACACGTTCTTGATAAAATCTATGAAATATCTTAAAGGCACATTATAACTCATAAACGAATATTTTTCTCATTCTTGAAAAGGGCAAACATATATTTGAATAACGTTTAAGTGATAGTTTAAGAGCATTTTAGATGCTTATCGCCTTGAGAAACTAAACCTGAATAAGAAATTATTTGTCATAAAATTAGCAAAATGTAAACAAAGTGGTATTTTGACTTCCACACAAAATTCTGTATCACTATATTTCTACTTATGGACAAAAAAAGCGACAAACAAAAGAAGGAACAGGTAATTTGCTAATGAGAATCGTCTTTGAAACATTTACGGGGCTTAAATAATAGAAAGCTGCTGCATGATGAAAATATAAGCATTCCATACGACATATTGTGCCTTTAATATTTCCAATTTCCAAGAAATCAATCACAGTCAGAATACAACAGCTCTTTTAAAATAACATGATATGATTATATATTTTTGTATTTTTTTTTTGCTTTTTTTAAAAACAAGATATCCCCGACATCAATTGTTGAAGAGATATGTGTCCCGAAGTGTTTTCCTGCTGCACCGGAAACCAATGTTGTTGCAGACTGTATCAACGATGTACAATACTATTCAATTGAATGGTTTGAAGATAGTGTTGGTTTAAAGCATGTGTTTGTGAGTATATTTCTTCTGTTCGTTTGTTGTTGTTGATATAAAAGTCGCGGTGCATTTTGGGATAGATTGCATAAATTATGCAAATGAAAAAGAGCCGACAGAATCCGATCACGACTCGGGATTATTGGTAAAAAATATTCGGCGATGATTGTATGCAAAACTTTTAGCCCATTTTTTTACATTTTAAAAAACATTTTCTAATTATAGCGTATGGATTTGATGGATTTTTGGCGTTGCTGGCTTTTTTATGATACAATGGTATCGGCGAACGCTTATGGATCTTTAAGAAGTTATATCGGTTTAAGCGGTGTTTATCGGCTATTTAACACCGGTTTGGTGCTTTGATTCGTAGGAATTTACCACGAAGGCGGTCGAGTCATATTCACGAGGAATGTTAGAATTGATTAAATGAAGGATTATATTATATCCTTAACAAAACTTAAGTACCATGATGCAAAACTAACAAAATGTTACATGTATGGTTAGAGTAATTTATTCAAAGTACCTGTCGCATTAACACAGCAAAAAAGTAATAAAATGGTACAGTTTGGTCAAATTTAAGGAAATCAACAAAAACAAATGCCTTGCAATGAATATTCTGAATACAACAAGACTAGTATAGTTAATTACCCAAAAACAAATTGTTCCATATCAAAAATGTTCAAAAAGAACCGCCAAACATACCAAATGTTCCGATATATTCGTGCAGTTTACCATATGTTTCGATATTTCCGCACAACATCAAACGTTCCGATATTATATCGAGAACATAACAAATCCGTGCATCATACCAAACGTTCCGATATTACCGAGATCATAACAAATATTCCAATATATCAGTGCAACATACAAAATGTTCCGATATTACTGAAAACATACCATATGTTTCGATATCTCCGCACAACATATTAAATTTTTCGATATCTCCGCAAATAACATATCAAACGTTCCGATATCATATCGAGAACATAACAAATGTTCCGATATGTCCGTGCAACATACCAAACGCTCCGATATTACCGAGAACATACCAAATGTTCCGATATCTCCGTGCAACATTCCAAACGTTCCGATATTATCGAGAACATACCAACTGTTCCGATATGTCCGTGCAACATACCAAACGTTCTGATATTACCGAGAACATAACAAATATTCCGATATGTCCGTGCAACATACCAAACGTTCCGATATTACCGAGAACATAACAAATATTCCGATATGTCCGTGCAACATACCAAACGTTCCGATATTACCGAAAACATAAACAAATATTCCGATATGTCCGTGCAACATACCAAACGTTCCGATATTACGAGAACATACCAAATGTTCCGATATATCCGTGCAACATACCAAACGTTCCGATATTACCGAGAACATAACAAACGTTCCGATATTATCGAGAACATACCAAATGTTCCGATATATCCATGCAACATACCAAACGGTCCGATATTATCGAGAACATACCAAATGTTCCGATATATCCATGCAACACACCAAACGTTCCGATATTACCGAGAACATAACAAATATTCCGATATGTCCGTGCAACATACCAAACGTTCCGATATTACCGAGAACATACCAAATGTTCTGATATATCCGTGCAACATACCAAACGTTCCGATATTACCAAGAACATAACAAATATTCCGATATGTCCGTGCAACATACCAAACGTTCCGATATTACCGAGAACATACCAAATATTCCGATATATCCATGCAACATACCAAACGTTCCGATATTACCGAGAACATAACAAACGTTCCGATATTATCGAGAACATACCAAATGTTCCGATATATCCATGCAACATACCAAACGGTCCGATATTATCGAGAACATACCAAATGTTCCGATATATCCATGCAACACACCAAACGTTCCGATATTACCGAGAACATAACAAATATTCCGATATGTCCGTGCAACATACCAAACGTTCCGATATTACCGAGAACATACCAAATGTTCCGATATATCCGTGCAACATACCAGTCGTTCCGATATTACCAAGAACATAACAAATATTCCGATATGTCCGTGCAACATACCAAACGTTCCGAATATAACCGAGAACATAACAAAATGTTCCGATATATCCCTGCAACAAACCAAACGTTCCGATATTATCGAAGAACATACCAAATGTTCCGATATATCCCTGCAACAAACCAAACGTTCCGATGTTATCGAGAACATACCAAATGTTCCGATATATCCCTGCAACAAACCAAACGTTCGATATTATCGAGAACATACCAAATGTTCCGATATATCCCTGCAACAAACCAAACGTTCCGATATTATCGAGAACATACCAAATGTTCCGATATATCCGTGCAATTTACCAAACGTTCCGATATTACCGAGAACATACCAAATGTTCCGATATATCCATGCAACATACCAAACATTCCGAGATTACCGAAAACATACCAAATGTTCCGATTTATCCGCACAACATACCAAATATTCCGATATTACCGAGAAAATACGAAATGATCCAATGCATACGTGCAACATTACCAAATGTTCAGATATGTCCGCACAACATACCAAATGTGCCGATATATCCACGCAACATACCAAATGTTCGATATATTCACGCAAGGTACCAAATATTCCGATCTATTCGCGAAATATACCAAATGTTCCGGTATATCAGGGCAACGTACTAAATGTTCCGATATAGACGCGCAATATCCCAACTGTTCCGATATATCCACGCAACATACCAAATGTTCGATATATCCACGCAACGTACCAAATGTTCCGATCTATTCGCGAAATATACCAAATGTTCCGGTATATCAGCGCAGCATACCAAATGTTCTGATATAGACGCGCAATATCCCAACTGTTCCGATATATTCGCGAAATAGAGCAAATGTTGCGATATATGCGTAATACTTACGGAATCAGATGGGTAATGTGATACTTAATCGCATGTCCTATTAAATATGTTATGCTCAAATACTTTAATTAATAAATAAAAGGCTGTTTTAGCTTCCAAATGAGTTGTATTGCAAAAATCATTCATGCCTCGTCTGGTTCAATACTTCCAGAATTTGCAATACTATTATATAAAAGACCAAATGATTAAGTAACATGATTTAATTTTATATTGGCAAGTTTGCATATATATGTTTCTTCGAATACATATAAATGAAATAACAGTAAGTCAATGTTTGAGCATCCCTCATCTTTGAAATAAGAAGTGCACGATTAAATAAGTTGTCTCAGTTTAGTTGAATTATTCAATTTGTAACTTATTAGTAGGGTGATGGGAATTTAAACAACATCTTTTCACCACATGCATGTATCTTTCTAAAACAAATACAGAAAATAACGTTCATATTTTATTAATACTTCAAGCACACTGATACTACGGACTATTACTGGGACATTGATAATGTTTTTGGTGTCGACTACGAGGAACTTGTCCTGTCAGCCATGGCCGGCTCCGCAGCTTTTGTCGTCGGTAAGTTCAAGACGATATTATCTGGCAAATTTCTTCTTAAAGATACCTTTTCTATTATACTATTTCTTTATCATTTCTATAATTATAATATATATATAAACAACTTGAGTCCGATTTTAATATGTTTTATTTTAAAATCATAATTTTACATAATAAAAATCTAGTTTATGACATTTGAATATGTTTTATTTTGGTAACGGTTATGTATTATTTACAGATTTACCAGATAAAGATTGCAGTAAAATGATTTCCGGTTAGTAAGTTTAGATCATGTACTCGCCAAAAGAAAGAAAGAAAGAAAGAAAGAAAGAAAGAAAGAAAGAAAGAAAGAAAGAAAATAAGTGGATAAAAATTCTTCACCTTGTGATTTTTATAAATATTTTTTAAAAATAATTTTTGTTTTAAATACAATACAAAACTAATGTATTGTACATCTTTAATACCATTTTTGGTTTAAATTCGTTATGCACTATTATATGTACATCTATATACTCTCAGTGACCGGCTACAAATCGTAATTTGATCGTATAGTTCAAATAATCCGGTATTTAATAATAAATATACATGTAATTGTTCTATTTATAGAAACGGCTGATGCAGCTGGGAGGAAGTTTATTATACCTGTTTCTGATGGTGATTCTGATTTCACCATTATTCTTACTACACGAAATGATTTAGCAACGACGCTCAATATCCAACTAAATGTTGACAATTCCCTTGGTACAATCACGATGACCTTATCTCAGACGTTAACAATAACAAAAGGGGACATAACCGAGCCTGCTTATAGTAGTGTAAGTCAGTATGAGTTATTCATCTTTTACCTCATGAAAAATATTACAGCAATCTTTTTTTTTTGTATTTGCAGATCCAAGAAATTGATGCCAGAGAATATTTTCTTGCATATCAGACAGGACTGATTATTTTATTATCCTCGAGCAGACTGTATGGGTAAACAATTCTGAGATGTTAAACTATTTGCTACATTTCAGTGCTCACCCCTTCCAAGAACTTTTATACCCAATACAGCAAGTGTTATGTGCTGGGTCGCAGCTCCGGTACTATCTTTTAGTGTTGATACAGTTGTCTGGTTCTTAGGGATGATTGATTACACTAACAAACTTCCTTTAAAAGCCGGGGCTTGGGGCGGGCGGGGCATTAAAAATGTTGTATTTTTTTATTTTCTCTCATATACAGACTCTACTGCTTCTGCGATTTTAAATTGGTTATTTCGTTTATATTGCTGTTAGGTAGCTTTCTTTTCTAAGACTTTTGCAGTTGAAAGATGATTGATTTGAAGGTACGACGAGCGGTGTCATACAGGGCTATTTGTTGTCGCATTTCATAATTTGTCTAATCTTATCAACCTGATAATTGCTTTGCTGATAAACGACCAATGTAATTAATATATATCAATTATAAGTAAACAACAAATTAGTCTAAGTGCATGGTTCAACACAACTGGGCAATTAAATGTTTCTGATACCATAAATATGTGCAATAGAATGTTTTAGTGCAGTTGCCAGTGGGCGTTGATATTTGTCTATCGGTTTTAAAATTAAGATGAATATCTAATAAACTAACATCTTACTTTTCGTGTATTATGACCTCTTGCGGTTGGGGTTAAGGGAAGTAAACTTTTTCTTTCATTAACTTTTTATGAAAGCATAATTGACACATCAGTAAAATGATGGACGAAAATAAATCATTATATATCAATTTATGTGGTCTTTAAGGGGGCAATAAGCGTCAGAAAAATATTTTAATATTTGTATTATAATTTAAATTTTTTATTCTGTAGCAAGGGTAATTCTGTACTTTATAAGGTTGAAGTAATGGTTTTAGAACATTTGATACACATTGATTATATACCGTCCGTGCTTTGCCTTGTGTCCTTCCTGTTTTAGTTTGGGATCCTCCGGGCTCCTGGCCGCTAGTCCTTGTTCCTGGGTCGTGTTGGGTTGCGTTTATTGAACGTTGATCTTAATTACCATTTTTTACCTGAAGACAATAGTGCTGAAAAAAGGTAGCAAAACGTAAACCAAGTTCTATTTTGACTTCCATACAAAATACTATATCAATAATACTGTACAAATTGCAAGAGAAAGTAAATAATGTAAGATAACTTAGTTTAAAGGGTATTTTTTATTTGTAACAGGACACCGATATTGAAAAAGCTTTTACATATTACATAGTCGCAGAATTTAAACATAATAAACCTTAAAATAATTTGTACGACGACAAGGCTTACGACAAGTAAAGTGAAGCCTTAGGGGACACTACAGTTTTATATGGAACTGATATAATTAAGTAGTGCAGAATTTATACAGAGGTCATATACTAATAATACGAGTACCTTGCTCAGAGTTTAAATGTCTCGATTTTCCGTACGTGACATGTTTTTAATAAACTTTTAGGCTATATCATTTCCTTTAGGGGAGAACTACTTTTACATACTTGGTTTATACAGAATTTATTTTAGTTTGATTGTGCAGGAAGCTATAAGTTTATAGACGTACCTGGAACCAGTACTGAATAATAAGTTTTTTGCTAAAACCACTTGCCCCTGACGGGGTTTTGAATTCGCACGACTTGCAATCTATATAGATTAATTGTCCGACGCGTTTACCATTCGGCAATGCTGCCACTAGAACTACTTACATAACCTGTTGGAGTAATGTTCTTTGTTTAAGAAATGATATATCCCAAACTGTGATTTTATTGCTCAATAACATCACTGTTTGGAGTTCGGATGAGAGGAATTATATCACGAGGGCGTAGGGCTCCGGATGATATAATGATGCGCATCCGAACGACAAACAGTGATGTTATCAAGCAATAAAATCACCGATTTGGATATATTATTTCGATTCTAACACGACATCAACAAATAAATGCTGCCGTATCTGATATTTAGCTAAATTGGGTCTGATTTGTTTCCGTACTTATTGTCAGCGCGTCACATTTTTAGTGGTTACGTCACGTGTATAATGATTACGTCACATGTCTAAATATAGAACGTCAAACAGTGATTTTATGTATATGTTAGTGTTCATCCATGCTGTTCTACAGAAATTAGAAACTTCGACGAGAGCGACAGGAGAATGTTTTTAATTTCTGTAGAACAGCTACGGATGAACACTAACATATTTAGTGTCAAGCTTTATTTGGCCCTTGATTACGTCACTACGCGGTACTATGAAGCACTATGAAAAATAGAAGGCGACTATGAACGGATTTCAATATAGTATCGACTTTTTTTCTTCTATGAAAATTAACACACATAATTTTTAAGAAATACAGCGTTTTCATTGGATGACAAATAAAGCTGGACACTAAAACATAATAACACACACTTTCGGTTCTTCTATGTTCAATAGGGAAAAATGCGAGTCGTGTTAGAATACGATATAATTAGTGATATGTACTATATCTATTATAGTATCAAGTATTATACTATATACTGTTGTAAATACTTTATACCTGTTGTTTTCTTGTCAAAATAAGTTTGTAAAAAAAACACCATAATTTACTAAATCTAAAGATTTAGAATTTATTTTGTTTACAGATAACAGTTACCAGTACCAATGGGGAACTTATGGTATACTTGCTGCGTTCTTTAACCAACGGTATTGCACTAGGCTTGAGTATTCTACCCTCTGATATACTTGGCCCTACGTACCTTTTGTTTATTGACAGTGTAGTGAATATAAACGATGATACAGGTCAGTTTTTAATCTTCATAAATTAATAATAGTTTTTTTTACTAAATTTACATATTTCAAAGAAAATAGTTATTTATTGTTATTATCAAAAAAGATAGGATAGAAAACAAACATTAAGTCAAAAATGCAATAATATTTTGTTTGCATTTTTGTTTGATTTTAGAAAACCACAATTTTGTTTAAAGTATACCTTATAAAATGTAAGTCGCATGTTCACATGTCCTTTTTTGTATGGTTTATTCATTTAACTTGTCTAGTAAAATAAAACAATAAGTTTTTGTCTTCAATTTTAATTTCATGTCATTATTTAGCCAAATAATTTACACTTGTGTTGCATCAATGACCTCTTGAACATTGGTCAATCTTTGTCCAAACTGAACATAAACAACATTAAAATTTTATTTTTACTCTTTCGAACTTGAAATCTCTAACTTGAATTAATACCGTCCTATTTACAATGAACTTATTTTGAGTTAATATTGTATAAGTGAAATCAAATAAAATATACTGTCTGACAGAAAGGAAATTGACAGATGTTTCCTAATGGTCAGTGGTCAAGAGGTCAGTGGTCAAGAGGTCAGTAGTTAAGAGGTCATTTTCTTTAAACCCTCTTTATTTATAATAGTACTGTCATTTATCAAAACCCACCTAAACACAAAAAACACCAAGTTAAAGGGAAAAGAATCGTACACATACTATATATGAGCCGCGTCACGACAAAACCAAAATAGTGGGTTTGCGACCAGCATGGATCCAGACCAGCCTGCGCCTCCTCGCAGTCTGATCAGGATCCATGCTGTTCGCTTACCAACCCTATTACAAGTAGAGAAACTGATAGCGAAAAGCATGGATCCTGATCAGACTGCGCGGATGCGCAGGCTGATCTGTATCCATGCTGGTCGCAAACACATTATGTTGTTTTTTTTCGTGACACGGCTCATTTTACATTTTACAGCTGTAATTTGTGAGGCTGTAGCTACAGACAGAGCAACTGTTTCAAATAGTGGGGAATACATAGGTAGAGACGTGTTGACAGAAATCACAAATGGCATATATTCCGAAGGCAATTCATGTATGTGAACATTTTAGAAGATATACTATGTTATCTTTAAGTAAAATAATTTTTCTAGCAGAAATTTATTAAAATCTATAAAAAATTCTTACTGAACATGTCTTATTTAAGTAAAAGACGTACAAACTATGTAGTAAGGAATCAGAAATCCTTATTACGGTCAATTTAAGATGGTTCTTTCTTAAAATAAACTGGCAATTTTAATGATAGTGTGTCCACTAATAGTGTGTAGGATTTAGACTTTACATATCTACATTGTGTTAAGTCAGAACACGTTTATTCTATATTTACAAAAAGACTGTGTAGCATTTATCATTATTTTCAAATATGAAATTTTGAGCAAAACAATTTTAATATATTTTTTATTTTGTCTTATTTTTGACACAAAGAACGCTATCTGAATCTGTAATTTACACCCGAAGTTTACTTTACATAACGTTTGTTTTTTTATTGGTCCATTAGAATCCTAAAGCACATAAGGCAATGACTGGTTGGTTTCTAGTAATCTTTTTAAGCGCGCTATGCCATACAGCATAAGATTAAGTAATATTATTAGCGGACGTTTATAAAAATGCGTCATCAATTCGCTGTTCAGAGCAAAACATCTTTTAGCAACTGAAGGATGAAATATTTCCAACTTGAGCGTTCCAATCTTTTTTTTTTAAATAAATACAGTAAAACTTAATGAAGTGAATATGTAAACAAGTTATAATGCAATAATTTATATAGTTTATGAACCGCCGTAAGAACACGTCCTCGGATGTTTCCAAATTCAAAATTACAACATTTTCATGTATAAATGTTGATTTTTGTTTAAGCCAGTGTTAGAAGGCGTGGACAGTAACCTGTGCATTCCAGTATCGTCAATGAACAGAGCCAGCCATATTTTCAATATTTTCATTCTGGACGTTTTTTTGGGATTCCGTTTTTTCTTTTTTGCGTAACAACCAAATGCATTGGCACAAAAACCTTTTCAGATTTTTTTTAATAAAATACTTCTATTAATCATTTTTTTGTCAAATACGTAGTTTCTAAACTAAATACATATTCAATAAAATAGATCAAAATATTCTTAGAAATTTAGAGTATTTAAAAAATCGTTTATTCCTGATGAAATTAATTCTTCTTTTATCTTACCAATATTGGTTCTGCTCTACACAAAAATCACTTGCTATTGACAAAGATCTTCCATAGACGGTAAAGTCAATCGTAACTCTATATAACGTACGTCTGTTTTAATGAATATAACCTTAAGAGTCGCGATCAATGTCAGTTTTATTGACTGTCACGTGACCGCGTCTCGACCAATCAAAACAAGTGATTATTGCTGGTCATTAAATAAATAAATAGTTTTCAATGTTTTCACACACATTTATAATTATCTCTGTCCGTGAATTACAGATCTTGGTGTAAAACACTTGTCAGCAGACCGCCCACTTGCTGTATTTTGTGGCAACTTTGCCGACACATTGGTGCAAATGCCCCCAAAAGAAACGCTTGGCACGGAGTTTTTTATACCCAGTTTGGATCTCAGCTTACTCAACGCTGTTGCAGAGATACACGTTGTGATTACAGAGGACAGTACGGTACTGGTTATCGGCGGGGACTATGATCAAATGGATCCGGTAGATTTTACCGGAGATTTCTACATCAGAACGATAGAACCAAATACGGTATGTTAGCGATATGTGATGCTAGCTTCGTTAAAGCGAAATGCCTCCAGATGAGTCAAAATATTTCAGTAAAATTAAACTTGAGAAAAATGTACTAAGATGTAAGGAAAAGTAAAAAGTTTCAAGATTCAAGTAATATTTTACATTTAATGCGCGATTAATGGCTGACTTTTTCAGTATATACAATTATATTTCTACTGCGTTAGTAACGCAGTAAAGGCTTTTTTTGCATATTTGATCACTTTTTAATAATTTACGTGGTTTGTAAGTGCCTTTGATAGTGTGTCAATTGCGTTCATTTACTCCGTCTGGGATAATGGTTCGGGGTTTACAAATGACCGTTACAATGTGGGACCAAAAACCTTATGTGTTCAAGCTCGAATACTTTCTGGAGCATTGATTACATACACATGTTACCATTTAAACACTGTACATTTCTAGATATACAATATCACGGCGAGTAAACCGGTTCAAGTTCATCTAGAAATGAGATCGACAGCAGACAGCTGGGCATCAGCGGTGGTTATTCCACCTACCACGCAGTACAGGAGTAGTCACGTGTTTCCGGGATTTAGCAACTCTCTCTTTGGACTGAGGTTGAGGCAAGTATAAATTAAATTTATAATTTGTTTGTTTGTTAGTTCGTTCTGGTTAAATAAGAGATCAGTTGTAGTTGACACATTACTTGCTATGCATACGTCGTCGATTTGTCATGTATATGAAAATTTAAAAGAAAACTAATAAAATATAAACATAAAACCTTACAAGACCTGCCTTTATAATACCCTGTTCCTACCTCATTTTATAGAATTGTTATAATAATGTTATCACGTTACCTTTAGTTCAACCAAGTAATTTGAAATGCAAACATAGTCTGTCCAGAAATATATCGGTAGGGGTGGGGAGGGGAGAGAGAGTTTGAGCCGCTTGTTAATTCACTGTCTTTCATTTTTTTTTGGACAGTTCGGCAGTGGATCAAAATGGATTAGATGTTCCAAGCCTCGTGACTTCATCTGTACTAACTGGAGCATCATCTACCACGCTTACGTATGCTGGTCCGACGTTTTGTCTCTCCGTGTTGGGTTATGTGACGGGTCATACCGGAAAGAAGATTGTAGTTTCTTGTGACGTATTATATGCCGACAATAATGAGGTAATATTATGACGTAATAATACCCCAGAAACAAACCAAATAAATTTTTGCTTCTTAAGAAGGGCAAACATGAAACAATGGTTTTGGAGAATGTTAGATATTTGTTACCTGAAAAAAGTAGTGATATTTGTGATATAATTTTCTTTATAAAAGTTACTATAGTAAAATGTAAGCAAAGTAGTATTTTGACTTCCAAGGGATCACTTTTTACCAGATATTTGTATACATATTTTTTGTTTGTTTGTTTGATTGGGTTTTAAGTCGCACCGACACAGTATAGGTATGTGACAACGTTCCAGCTTAACTGTTGGAGGAAGACCTCAAGTTTACAAAGACATAGCGCTAAAATAAATTCCTTTTAATCTTTATTTATATTTTGACAATTATATTAATAAGAATAAATTATACTTACCCAATGAATATTCACCACCTATAACATTAGAAGCGTTGTTTGTGCCGTGTGGAGGCTGTAAAAAGTCGCCCCGTACATTCAATCAGAGATCTTATATTTCCGATCCTTAAAGATCGTTCTGCACGACATTATTGTTGTGCTTGTGGTAATTTAGTTCTTTCTATTTAGCTATTTTCTTGTTGGGTGGTTCCGGTATTCCTCACTTGAATACCGTTGAATCACCCTTAGGATATGTGGCCTGCTTTTGAATTTTGTCTTTTGACGTCTTATCTGTGATATGCAGGCTTCATAACCTCTGATCCCCTTTCAAAATTCCATTTTATTTAGTTCCGCCCATTGTTTTCTCGTTTAGGGCACACGCATTTTTTTACTTGGGGACCATATGCCGCTTTTCATGGAATGGCACTAACGTGTCACATTGAAAGTTCCATGATAACCGCCATATGAACACATCTGCGGATGTTTCAAAATTCAAAATTGTACCAGTTCATGTTAAATGTTGAATTCTGCTTAAGCCGGTGCTAGGGGGCGTGGACGGTAGTTTGTACTTGACAGTACCGTCCATGAACAGGCTCAATCAAACCGAGCCTGCAACATTTTCAATTTTGCCGTGTTGGGCTTTCTTTAGGGATTCTTATTTTCTCTATTTTACTAAATTAAATACATGCATATATTCACTTACAGATATGCATAGTATCGAATGGAACTGCTGGTGATGGTGTAGACAACGATTGTGACGGTTTAATTGATGAGGAGTATTGCTCTGATAGCCGAGAACCGGGCACATTTGGTGAGTTGATATTATAGTAGATAATTAAAGATCTTGGTACACATTTTTTATGGTTTTATATCATGAATATGATGCTAAAATTAAGATTTATCAATATTAAAGGTTCCAAAAACCATTATTTATAAAGATATTGCCAAATTTAATATTTCATGTAAATAAAGGGAGGTAATTAGAAATTGATTTTCTATAAAGTTTAATAAGAAATGAATGCATATATTTTGATGATTACATATAATATGCGCAGATAGGTGCAGTACATATTTTACACATTCTTTGATGTTTGAAAGTTGTTTTATTAGCATAATTTTATACATGTATTTAATTTCTCTGATTGTGGTTAACCACTTTGATCACAACATACAGGATCTTTAAATGATTGTACATTCTAAGGTAAGGAAAGAAGAAGAAAAGTGCTCATAGATTATTATTAGATTAAAGAGAGTAAATGTAACTTTATAAAGATAAAAGCATGTGTTAGCTATATGTATGCCTTATTGTCTAGCCGTTTGTAAAATTCACCGGTGCGTTTCAAGTCATTGTATCATAATTATCTAAAGGCAGATACAAAATTTTCAGGTCTGATTTAAATTTTGTGTGCTTTCGTTCAATACGTGATGCTTTCAATATTATAATGATACGATGATCTTGACATAATGCATTGTTTTTAGCATGTAAGACGGTTGTTGTTTTGCTATACATTTCAGATTACGATATAGACGGTAGTTTAAATGAGGACTGCTCGGCAAATTCTACTGGTATGGATTAAAACTAGTTTTGAATATCGCCTTTTCTGAAAAATTGATTTACACGTAAAGCATTAATAAAAAGTTGTTACTGCATACACTGCAATTTCAAACGCAAATAATTTCACGCTCCTCCTTGAACACATTGACTCCATGAAAATGTTTTAAAGCTATTTTATTTAACCAATCTTGCGTATCTAAAATAATGCCATTGGTGCGGAGAGAGTGGGGAGGCAAAGATGTTAACGGCTGGAAATTCACCTTATGACCATGACAGTGACGGGGAGACTTTTAACAAGACGTTAACTTTGCTGTATACGAATATAAACATACTTTTCATGCATTATAAGAAAAGTCGCAAATCATAACCATTAGCAAACAAATATCGCTATCAATAAATACTGTTGACAAAGAGGTTAGCAAATCATTATTAGCACAACTGCAAGCTTGATTTATAGTACACTTATATTATTTTTCTTTCTTTCCAAATTGGCTTATATAGCCACAGGTTTAAGCAAAGAGATCGCGATTCCTTTATCAATGTTAACATGTTCTTCAAGTATTAACAATACAAATACCAGTGACCCTTCAATAACCATCGGCCCTGGTGCACCAACAAACACCACTCCAACCAGTTTTCCTACGTTATCACAAGAATTGGAATCTGAAGCTACGTATGATCCTATCATAGCAAGCACATCGGGTTCTATTAGTGTACCTACAACCGCTCCAGCTACTGGGAACGTTACTGGCAATTCCTCAGGTTTGTAACTGATTGCTTGATTATCATTTCTTTAAAGAGTTTCAGGATACAAAATGTTGTATAATTAATAAATTATCAATACTATCTATTTGTATGCTAAATTTGCATACTGTTTATTTATTAGCGAATATGGCGGAATTTACATATAATGTGCATTTGCATCATTAATTCATTTTGCTTATTATGAGATTAAGATGGACATATTAACCTAAAATGATTGTTAATTAAACTGATGAAAAATAAATTAAGCGAAATTAAAATGCAGTTTGTAAAATGATTTAAACGAACTTATACTCATATTACTTTTGTTTGCGACTTAATTCAAGCAAAAACGGTTACTATGAATATCGTTCATTGTTTTGTACTCAATAACCTTCATCATGTCCTTTGTCTTCAGCTGCCCCTGTAAATATATGCGTGACTGAATGTGTGTGTCCGTGCGGATGGGTAAATCCTCCACAAAACTACACTCCTGAAGAACTTGCGGAAATAGTTGAAGAAATACAAGAGAAACTTAAAGTTAGCAAAGCCGAACTCAGTTCAACGGTAAAATATTATCCTAAATACAAACAAGCATAAAGATATCGATGTTAAACTGAATAAACTTTGACAATGTAAAAATTCAGGAATTTAGCTCCCCCCGAAAAGAAATTGTATTCATTATTTACATACTTTATTATAAAAAGCCGAAAATAATGGATAGGTTATAAATTCTTAGTTAAAACGTTGGAACAGTTACAAAAATAGACCACGTGATATAACCACATGATTATCTACCCGGTCCCTCATTTTCTGTATATTTTGAGCATTACAAGTCTCATTCTTACTGAAAACAAAACAAGATATCGTTTAACGTCCGTTATATTACCAATTAACCACGATAAATAAGATGAATGCGATACAAGATAAATAAGACCTAATGGTATCCCGTCCGTTGTTTGCCCGTGTGCCCTGTCCTGTTAGTATCCTGTTGGGCTCCTTGCTGGTGCTAATTTGTTAGCGAAGGATGCGTTCATTGAACGACACCCTTTCTTGTTGATCTTGTTTTTTTAACAACCACGGTGAATTTCAAACCGTTGAAAGTTCGATTTGTTTTTTTTTTGGATGATAGAGGTAATTCAAGTAACCTTCAACCTCCCTTGGCATCATCTTAAGCAGACCTTATGCAGATCTTTAAACATGATAAAAGTGTTCAGTTCAGAATTTCGTAGGTCCTCATTCTGCATTTCAAGCAATGATTTGTCCCCAGAAATGCAATATATGTATACCAAATTATAACAAAAACCTAGAGTCGGAACTAAATAACCTAATATTTTGTAATGGATTGAGAACGCACAATTTATTTTGGAATATATTTGTAGAACTAATTACAATCTGTATATATTTAATTTCTCAGATCCGCAAAAAGTCAAGCGCACCAGACGACCGGCCGTCTGCCACCGCTGTAGGATACGTTGGTTTGGCGTCGATCATTTTCACCTTGGGGGCAATGGCGCTCTTAGACATTACAACTGTATTTAGAGATGTGCGAGTGATGATTAAGAATCTAAGAGAATATTTTCAGCCATGACTGCGTTTTGTTCTCCGAATTGTACAACCTCATACTGGTAGATTATCTGTTATGTGATATTCAAGCTTTTTCTCCAAATGTCTACAGAGTGTTATATGGTATTTAGAGGATTCCGATTGGTCTGAGTAAAATCACAATTGTCTCAACTCTAGATGCATAATTTATTAGTGTTTGTTTCGATTTGACCCATTTCTAAATTACTTTCCTCTATTGCGTCATTTTGGCAAAACAAAAATCTTCGTTGGTTTTGATTATGCATTGTACATGACTGCACGAAAAAGTTTCGTTGATTTTGATAATTATAAGCAAAGTGAATATTAAAGAATACATACTGCGTCCAATTATATATGGAATTTGTAATTTTAAGAGTGTTTTCAAAATTAGTTTATAAACTGTGTGCCTTCTCAATTAGTGTATCTGTAAATTTACCTAAAGGTGTATCGATGGCTTTGTATGGACAATTGAAGAATGTGATGCAATTGGTATATGGTTCACAATCAATGAATCAATAAGTTTATATCTTATCCTAATCTCCCGAAACAGATGTATCTGGTTATTCTAGTTTTAGTTACAGAGGCCTAGCCTTCTAGTTTTGTTGATGAATTATCTTTCTGTTTAGCTGTTAAAAATCTAGCCCATTACTTTTGTTGATGACTTATGTTTTGGTTTATATATCACAACCCTTTGAATGTCGTCATTTGTACAATTCGAAAGGAATATTTCCAAATCCTGTCTGGGCAATTCGTTGCTTACATGAAAAAGAAACTTTACATTTATTGTTTAGTACTGGTTGGTTCCAGGAAAGGATTTAAGTGTTTCAATAAGCTTATAGCTTCCAACACAATCGAACAGAAATGAATTTGTAAAAACTATATATAACTAACATATTTTTGTATACATAAAAAGAACTATTGCAAAGCAACAAAAACAATGTTTTTCATCTGTTATTCAGATAAACGGTAAATTCGTATTCAAAATGATTGATTTAATTCATATAGACTATAACAATATTCATTATATTCACTGTTAGACACAATCTTAGTGAGAAATAACAGTTATCCAATCTCTAATTATATACTTATTAAGAGCTTACATTCCAGAATGTATAAACTGAAACATTTATTATTCTGTTACATTTGAATACCAACCATGACAAAGGTTTTATAAGTATTATAAGTATTTTTGATTTATATCGAGATACATGTAATTGTATAAGTTCAATACAATTTCTTATTTCTTCTTCGTATTCGAATGGTATTGAATATACTGTGTTTAATATATAGATTTTGTAAACTCATAAATTACAATGTAACTGAAACCTGTAATGAGAACATCAGTGCGTTATTGTGTATTCTGTAAACATTATCGTTGATATACGATCAAGAACAATATCTATCATTCTGTCGATATCATGTTTTTCCGTTAATAAAATGATTTTCATAAGAATTGTCTTTTTTTCGATTCTAAGTGTTATAGGATTTAAACATTACTTCATTACTCGTACAGGAAAACACACAAAAACAAATACAGAATCAAAAACATGCCTATTATTTTAAAAACAAACAATAATGGAAAAAGGTTTGAGAGCATATCAAACAAGATCAGTTTAATATCATGCATTTATCACATAACCGTGCCGATTTTGCGACTCCGTAAAAACGGTATTGCACGACAATGCATATATTTTGACGTGACGTCATTAGCGTTATACAAACAAAGTGTTAAGACGCGCTAAACGTTAGCGTTATACTTTAGGCGCGTTAGTGAAAATGACACTTTTTTCACTTTAAACGGTCTTTGTTTTGGGTGTGTGATAAATAGAATATTAAATTCGTGTAAGTTAATTACTGAATTTATTGAACTCGTTGAATAAAATAATATTATGCTCGCCAGAGACTCGCATAATATAATTTTATTCAACTCGTGCAATAAATTCAGTATTGAACTTACACTCATTCAATATCCTTTATATCTGTTGAATTGAAAGTTTCTTTTAAACTACTAAACAATTTCAAATTTACATTCATACTTTATTATAATCTGAATTACTATAATAAAACCATTTACTCCTTGTGTTTACTATATTGAAATAGTATTCATTGAAAGGAACCTGATATCAAAGTTACTTTACTTACATGATTACCGATTCATTTTCGTCGGTTTTCATGTTTGTACTATCCTTAGTTATCTTTCAGCTGCTCGGCTGCCAGGCTGTTAGTCTGCTAACTTCATAAATTTCTCGAAGTGTCAGAATGTAAAAAAAAATTAAGTTCAATATTTAAAAAAATAAAAATCACGATATTAAAATAAGACATGGAATGGTCTAAGTATGTGCTACCGATTCATTTCCGACGGCTTTCATGTTTGTACTATCCTTAGTTTTCTTTAGGCTGTTAGGCTGCTAACTTCACAAATTTCGAAGCGTCAGAATGTAAAAAAATAAAGTTCAATATTTTAGGGAATAAAGATCAAAATATCAAAATAAGACGTGAAATGGTGTGACTATGTGCTACCGATTCATTTCCGACGGTTTTTATGTTTGTACTATCCTTAGTTTTCTCTAGGCTGTTAGGCTGCCAACTTCACAAATTTCGAAGCGTTAGAATGGAAAAAAATAAAGTTCAATATTTTTAAAAATAAGATCATGATATTAAAATAAGACTTAAAATGATCAAAATATGTGCTACCGATTCATTTCCGACGGTTTTCATATTTGGACGAACCTTTTTTTCTATAGGCTTCTAGGCTGCTAACTCTACACATTTCGAAGCGTGAGAATGGAAACAAATAAAGTTCAATATTTATTTATGAAATTTGTGAAGTGAGCAGCCTAGCAGGATAGTACAAACATGAAAACCGCCGGAAATGAATCGGTAGCACTTACTTAGACCATTCCACGTCTTATTTCAGTATCGCAATCTTTATTTTTTAAATATTGAACTTTTTTTTATTTTGACGCTTCGTGAAGTTAGCAGCCTAGCAGCCTAAAAAATACTAAGGATAATACAAACATGAAAACCGTCGGAATTGAATCGGTAGCACATACTTAGACCATTCCACGTCTTATTTCAGTATCGCGATCTTTATTTTTTTTTAAATATTAAACATTGTTTTTTTTTTTTTTTGACACTTCGAAATTTGTGAAGTTAGCAGCCTAGCAGCCCTTTATATATATAGTAAATACTTAAAAAGTCTTCTTTTAAAAAACCCTAAGAGCTAGAGCTAAGATATTTAGCATGAAACATCTTCTAATGGGTTACTACCATTTTTGTTCAAATAAGAGCCTTGGGGGTTAAAATTGAGCCCGCCCCGGGTATCATTGATTTTCCTTATATGTATCTAGTAAAAACATAAAAAAAATCTTCTTTTAAAGAACCCAAAGAGCTAGAGTTTAGATATAAAGCATGAACTACCTTCTAGTGAGTGACTACCAAGTTTGTTCAAAGAAAAACCCTTGGGGACAAAATTGGCCCCCGCCCAGAGGTGGGGTTCATTGTTTTTCCCTATATGTGTATTGTAAAAACTTAAAAAACTTCTTACAGCTAGAGCTTAGATATTTATCATGAAACATCTTCAAATGGGTGTCTACCAAGTATGTTCAAATAAAAGCCCCTTGGTTAAAATTGGCCCCGACCCGGGGATCTATATACAAGTGAGTGAATTCAGGGCCATCATGGCCCTCTTGTTTAAATAAGGATCGCAATATTGGAATAAGACGTGAAATTGTCTAAGTATGTACTACCGATTCGTTTCCGACGGTTTACATGTTTGCACTATCCTTAGTTTTCTTTAGGCTGCTAGGCTGCCGGGCTGTTAGACTGCTTACTTCACAAATTGCGAAGCGACAAAAAAAAAAAACAACAAAAAACAAAAAAACAAAAACAATGTTCAATATTTAAAAAAATAAAGTTCGCGATACTGAAATAAGACGTGGAATGGTCTAAGTATGTGCTACCGATTCATTTTCGACGGTTTTCATGTTTGTATTATCCTTAGTTTTCTTTAGGCTGCTAGTCTGCAAGGCTGACAGGCTGCTAGGCTGCTAACTTCACACATTTCGAAGTGTCAAAATAAAACAAAAAAACAAAGTTCAACATCTTAAAAAAATAAAGATCACGATATTGAAAAAAGGCCTGGAATGATCTAAAGAAGTGCTACTTATGTATTTCCGACTGTTTTCATGTTTGTACTATTCTTAGTTTTCTTAAGGCTGCTAGGCTGCCAGGCTTCTAGGCTTCTCGCTGTCAGGCTGCTAGGCAGCTAACTTCACAAATTTCGAAGCGTCAAAATAAAAAAAAAACAAAGTTCAATATTTAAAAAAATAAAGATCGCGATACTGAAATAAGACGTGGAATGGTCTAAGTATGTGCTACCGATTCATTTCCGACGGTTTTCTTGTTTGTATTATCCTTAGTTTTCTTTAGGCTGCTAGGCTGCTAGGCTGCTAACTTCACAACTTTCTAAATGTAAAAAAAACAACCCAAAAACAACAAAAAACCAAGTTTAATATTTAAAAAAATAAAGAACTCGATACTGAAATAAGACATGGAATGGTCTAAGTATGTGATACCGGTTTTCATTTATACATGTAACTGTATTTTCTGATTTTTACATACATGTACAAGCATTAAAAAGAATTTCGATAACTATTCATATTGCAAATAACCGTTTATATACGACCATATAACCTGTCGGATTTATTTATAACGAATTCATAATACTTTTACATCAAGCATTATTCTTTAAAGCGAGAAAATTTCATACATCGATGGCAGCCATGTATATGAAAAAAGTACATTATATATAAACGTCATGATTATCCAATGAAAAGTGACGTAACAAACGTGCAGTATTATATATTCTTTAAAGATATACTATGCTCATCTTTGAGTAAAATATTTTAATCGAAGAAATTAATTACAACCTATGTAATTCTAACTGAATATGTCTAATTTGGATAAAAAATGTATAAACTGTGCATTGGAAGTCACGTTCTCTATTATAGGACAGGTAAAGTTGGTCTTTCCAGTGTTTTTAACGACACTTTATATTCATACTGTGGTGACCTGTAGTGTGTAGAGTTTTAAACATGACATATCAACTTTGTGTAAAGTCAAAACATGTTGATTTCATATTAACAAATAGACTGTGTAGCAATTATCTATATTTTCTGATATCAAATTTGAGCATAGTATATCTTTAAATGGCATGATGCTAGAATATGATAACATAAACATTTCGAGCGAAAAAAACCTAAGGGTCACCGATCTCATTTTCTGTACGTGAATTTGATTTTTTTCCTTATTTTGGATTATTTAAGGGACAGATAAGTTAAATATATGTCTGAAAAATCCTTTTTCCGCTTGTTATGTTCTTTACTATATTTGTGTACATTTTCAAAGAAACCGTAATTCCATAAAATATTTCTGTTACCTTTTTAATTTCTTTTCATACTTAAAATTCTTTAAAAATATACCATATTTGAAACCACTTGTCTTCGATAAATGTCACAATTTAAGATAAAGAAGAAGAACAAAAGCTTTATAACGCGCATGTCTTTACAAAAGTAATAGAGAAAACTTTTCCTGAAATAACTCGTACGCTGTAAAAATAAAATTTATATATATTAGTGTTCATATAACACAGTGACATTCAAAACTAAGATTGTTTTTCGTATTCAGGAATCTTTACGAGTTTCTCTTTTATATGTATGTATGATAAAAACATTGTTGAACCTGAAACTTAAAGTCTTTTTAAGTGCAAGGTTGAACGTGAATTATTCTATGATAATTACGGCGAAAGGAATTTTCAATGGAAGGAAAATGGAAGCGGAACTCGGACATCTATTTGTACGAGTGTATATATAATGATTAATATTGTTTTAAACATCAAATAAACACGTTTCTCAGATGCCAAAGTAAGAAAAGGTTTGTACTCAATTGAAAAGTGTGTTACGTCAAGTTAAAACCTCAAAATATACATAAATTTTATCGGGCCCACCGCACTGCGTTGCAATCAAATCCACCGCCGTCTGCGATGAAATCATTTTTTTTCATTCATTTATAACCAGACAATAATGATTTTCCAAATTTCCAAAATATGTTTATTTTGTGAAAGTATCATACATACGATATGATGCCGTTGTAAATATTGGGGTCGTTTTGCACACATTTGTACGTGCTTTAACCAAAATAAGGCAAAAGTGGCGCCCCTCATCAAACTGTACAAAAGTGTTTGCATAAACGCAATGAATTGCACCGTATGCATGTAATAAGTTGAAAGAGTACATATGTGGGCTCCAGTCTCACTAAGTGTTTCCAGTGAAACATTAAAACATTAAACAAAATTCAGTCAAATACTTACCGACAACAGCAGACGGCCATATTTTATCCACCGCTTCTGCGACGAATACTCCATCGCCGCTGCAATGGACCCACCGC